AAATTTAACGCTCAGCAAATCACGTTAAGCTCTGTTAAAAAATTATAGTGAATTGACCTTTTATAAAATTTTAATGTAAGATTGTCTAGATTTTAGGGCCTAGAATTTTCATTATATTTTTTATTTAAAACGCAAGTATTTTAAAATTGTAAATCTTAAAATACTCATAAATTATATTTAAATGAATATATAATAAAAAGCCCACGTGTTGCCCTAAATAATCATCTTAGCTTTAAATTTTATAAAAGATCAAATCATTCTAATTTTTAAATTAGCTAAACACTATTTGCTGGGCGTTAAATTTGTTATTTGTTATATTATACACTTAGAAGAAGAAAATAACAAATCACAAATGTCTGTGTAATGTCCTCCTAATACATAATACATAATATTTACCATATTTAAATTATATATATATATATATTTGTATTGTATTATTGAATTGAATTTTTAAATTAATGATACTTAATAATCTTAATACAAAATGAAAATATATTAAAAATTTACCAAGATCTATATTACTTTGAGTTTATGAAATTGGGAATTTCACAAATGAGGTTTACATAATCATAAAATATGTGTTATGTAAAAAGTAATTTATGTTATTGTTTTATAGAAAGAAATTTTCAATTTAAATGTTKTAATTATTTTATTTGACATTAAGTGCAGTGCATATAATATAATGCTCATAAAGCTTTGTGGCATGAAGAATTTGTGACCTTGACTATTTTTTTATTTTCATAAGACTGTTAAATGTTTTTGTGCCAAAAAAAATTCACCATTTTATATTGTAATATTGAATTTTCTACATCTTAAAAATGTCACAAATATAATAATTGTGTTATTATGCTAAAAGTTAAATGAATTAGTAAAAAGAAATGGTTAATTCTTGGACTTTTTTGATAATCACTCATAGTTTAAAAAACTTATTTTATTTAAATGAGTTATTTTATAATAGATATAATAGTGAAGAATAGTATCATCAATTTTGTTTTTTTATAATTTGT